CGGGTGAGTCTTAGCGGGGTTAATTGGTGTCAAAAAGCGCTTGACGGTTTCAATTCCGGAAACTCAAAAAATGTGTACAGCATTGTTAGTGGTGATGAATCATGGATTTACTGTTATGAACCAGAAAATAAACGACAGTCGGCTGTGTGGGTGTTCCAAGGTGAAGAAAAGCCAACAAAAGTCATCCGTTCTCGAAGTGTTTCGAAAAAGATAGTCGCAACATTTGTGTCAAACGCGTGTCATATTGCAACAATTCCTCTTAATGAGCAATGAACTGTTACTGCGGATTGGTATACCACCATTTGTTTACCAAAAGTCATCACCGAGGTTCGAAAAATCAACCCCGAAAGAAGAATCATCCTCCACCAAGACAATGCAAGCTCGCACACAGCCCCAAAAAACAAGGCAGTATTTAATAGAAGAAAACGTGGAATTATTGGAACATTCTCCATATAGTCCCGATCTAAGTCCTAAAGATTTCTTTAATCTCCCGAAAATTAAAAATAGACTGCGTGGTCAAAGGTTTCAGTCACCAGAAGAAGCAGTTCACGCATGCAAAAATGCCGGTTTGGATCTGCCAGCAAACGAGTGGAATAAGTGCTTCGAAAATTGGTTCGAGTGCATGCAGATGTGTATTAATCTTCGTGGAGAATACTTCGAAAAACAATAAAGTCATTTAAAACTACCTACCGTGTTGTTTTATTTCCATATGCACAACTTAAAAGACATCCCTCGTATGAGCGGATCGTCAAGCCAAGCTCATAGGTCGCTTTTTTATTTTTGAACCAGTAATAGTCCAAGATCTAACCGAAAAGCTTTGGTTGCATCGCGTTCGATACGATATTTTAGAAACCAGTCAAATATTACGTATTTTGACTACTCGGCAAGTTTGCCCTTTAGCCATAGTATAAAAACAATTTGTAATTAAAAGTTGTTTCAGAAGGGAGTAACTCAAGTTTTTTGAGGCCAATCATGTTTGGCGACTTATTTTAGTTCTATACAGTGGTATGTAAAAGTTACCACTAATCATTGAGTGTCATTCGCCTTGTTTTCGGAATTTACCCTTATTTTTAAAAATGTATGGATCACTTTATAATATGTAAGATATGTTGCCGAAATGGCCGTTCGGGTTTTCAAAAAATCTACAATATACAATCTACAAGACTGACTACAATATAACTTGAAATATTTTACAATAGATAAAATGTATTATACGACGAACAAACGAGGAATCTGCGGAAAGCATGAAGAACCTCTATTAAGCACCTCGAGCTTGGAAGCTTTCAGGTGCATCCTTTTCTGCACCATAAACCAGCATGTGTTGTATCTATTCAAAAGGTTATACCACTAACATCTATTATGTGTCTGATTATTTCTATTTCTCTTATAATAGAGTCAAATAAATTGATTTAAATTATAGAAAATATCCATTGGTTAAAGTATAACCAATCAACAGCAATTCGAAAAGCGGCTAAAAAATTTGTGGACTATAAGAAACCTTAATTTTGTTTACATCTCAGAATTACTACAAACGGAGGAAAGAACAGAGAAGAGGTTAGTCTTTTTATTCCGTTCCGTTCAACAAAATAATATCGAAAATCAAAAACACCGCCACCTAAAAAATCACACAAAGGTTACAAATCACACCTCATTACATCATTAAAAGAAATTTTAAAGTATACATGTTTCAACTTTCTGTTTTATCCTGTATAAGATGAACCAGGAGGATTTTAGGTCAGTAAATTATATAATTTCAAACTTCGCTCCCTCCAGGTGATTCTTTGAAGAGCAGCTCATGCTTTTGAACTACCTGCGGCTCCAAAGAATGCGGGAGAGAATCGGGAAGACAGTAACAAAGTGTCCTTTGAAATACGCTCGGGTTTCTTTTAGACAGGTATAGGTGGTTTAATAGAATGCATGGAGGTAAATATCAGAGCTAACATTGGAAAAGCAGCTTTGCGATTAACTATATTTAAATGTACTAACTAAAAATACTCTATGATTATTTAACGACGTGATTGTAAAAGTTTCTGGACAGTGCATGGAAAATGATCAGTTGACCTCCGAAAATATGTTTATTCTTCGAGATAAGCTTTGTACATTTTCCAGCGGTTTTCTATTTCATTTATACCTTCCCTTAAGTGATTCTCTAGAAGCTCTTCAGAATACCCCACTACAGCTGTAATGACTTCATCAAGTGCCGATTTAGGAATTTGTCTGTATCGACTCAGGGAGGAGCGGCGATTAAAAATCAAAGAGGGGGGTCCAAAGCATGCAATTGAGCAGCGATTCTGAGTACAAATGCTCTTGTGACAATTGATGAGCAGGATATACGTTTGGGAGGGGGAGGGGGTGGTTTCACGTGTCACGATTTAGGTCTTGCCCGGTAATTTAAACACTAGTGTACAGCAATATACCATTCTGCGCCATGGACAAGTCCGATCAAATACATATCAGTATAAATTTCGTCTCCGCTCAATCCCTTACTATACAAGTTTTTGATCATTGCATACTTTTGAAAATTTTACACTGTGCTTGAAATTCCGCAAGTGTTCATAGGGAGTGTCTGGTAAATAGTCCAGCACAACAATATGTTTTCCGATAGCAACTCCTCCTATATACAGACACTTTTCAAATCGCCTAGCTTAGATATATCGAGAAGTTATTGTGCAAATATAGATTCTGGCAAAACTTCAAAACAAAGAACTACATAGGTATGACAATGCTTCGTTTTCGAGATTCGGAGTTTTAGTTTTTTGGCAGGGTACTTACAATACAGGGTGTAAACGTTATGATAGTCATTATTTAAATGGGTGACAGAGGGGGTTAAAAGAAGCAAAACGTTTCATATAACATGAGGTTAAAACGAATTTTTTTTAGAGAAAAGCGTCTTCAAAGTAAAATAAAATCTGACAACGCCGCAATGCCAGACGCAAATTACGTCGAAACGCAGTGTAAATAAAGATGGACTTTGTTATTTTTGGCTCTTAGGTATTATTTCATTATTTGATAATGTACTCGTAAAATGCAAACAATTAAAAAACGGACTTACCATTAACTGACTCAGCGCTTCACCTGGTGTGTGAAAGTTTATTGAACGTATTAAAAAAATGCACTTATAAATAGGAAACATAATTTTGATACACACATTGTTTTACTTTTTAAGACCCACACTGCACGTTTTTTGTATTCAAAAAAGGTGTTCAAAATGTCGTCTACCACTTTCCACACAAGCTTCATTACGACGAACCCAGTTTCTTCTTACTCTAGGTCCTCGAAGTTGTCCATTTATTATTTCAGCTAAGGTATTCTTCACCTGACAACTTTGGTGGGGGTAACTCGAAAGGGCCAATTACCTGATCCCCGCCCAAATGTTTATTTTAAAACGTTGTTAGAAATGACCTTCACGAATGGTATGAGGATTTTCTTGGGCCCACGTGTGAGTATTATGGAAATTTAATATCCCGTCTCGCGTAAAAGTACATTCATCCGTCACTAAAAAGGTTTTAAAAAAATCCGGATTTTCAATGTTTTTGTGCAAAAACAACTGACAGAATACTGGTCTGCGAGGATAGTCTTCTGGTAACAAGGCCTCGACAAGGCTCGACAAAACGATAAAGTAATGTGTCTATGCAAAACGATAACTAACCACTGTTACCGTTTGCGATCGACTGCCGGTTCGATAAGAGTGATGAAATACCGACGCGTTCTTGTCATGTGTGTTTCAAATATTTAATTTAATGAAACTTACTGACTACAAATTTTGGCTCAACTTAGAGAAACTTAATGCCATTTATTTGTTAATTACCCAACCCAACGTTTTAGATTAGATTATAAAAATTAGTAAGATTGTGGTCGATATAAAGCACTTAAAGTTGTAAACTATAAAGCCATTCAGACAAAAATCTATTGACTTTAGGACCATGGGTCATAGGATTTCAATAATGACTACCGTGACGTTTACACCCTGTATAAGCACCTTGAATAAACGAAATAGTGATAAATTCTTCAACTCAACATTATTTTGAGGATTGTTTCTGAACCGGTTTATTTGGCACTGTTAAAAATAGAATGTTTTCGTTTTGTAAAATATTTCATATTCACATTTTCATGTCACCCGTTTCTGTCTAAGCTGTTATTACATACTAGGTGTAACAAAAGTAACGAATCGGCTCTATATTTTAGCAGGTAAGGGAATTTTGAAAAAGGTCAAGGTAGAGATTCACCAACTTTAAACAAGAAGTCTAGTGATGAGCTTGGTTATTCCAAGGTCAACTTTCGTTTTTAAATAGGAAAGTCATGACATCGGCAATCGAAAGTACGCTAAATTCTACGTCCGCATATGTATTAAAATTTAAGAATAAGACATTCTCATGTAGTATTATGACCTTAACTGTGAAACTTTAGCAGTCAAATCCAATGTGGATATTGAAATCGTTGGTAAAAATTGCTAAAGGTATGACCATGATTGTTTAATTAATATTCATACTGAAATTCTAGAAATTCACCCTAGCCTTACATGTTTGACCTTAATTTGACATTCAAAAGTAACCTTGATCTAAGAATTTAATATACGATACGCAGAACTTGTGCCTTCGATTACCGGTGTTAAAAAAGAACTGAGATCACCACTGAACTATTTGTTCCAAGTTAGAAAATACCAGACCTTGATCATTTTCAAAAATATCTTACCCGGATCTGTAGAGGTAACCTTGATCTTATATTTTAACCCATTTGGTCCCAGTGGTGCGCTTACGCACCGCCAATTTTATGATTTTTTTCCCGGATAGTTCCTTGTTCTAACTGCTTAATACGTGTAGTTTGAGATAATCTGTTGCAACTGTATCCAAATATAATTTGTTTTTGACCTTGACAGCAAAGGGAAAAAAATGGCGGTGGTTTTTGACATGAATATTATATTTGGTTCCGTAAAACATGTCTAAAATTCAATGAATTATGGTTTAGACTCATTTTTTCCTATAATTACCTGTAAATAGTGGAAAAGAAACTTATGTGGTCTGTATGTTGTTTGTCAAAAGTTTGGCTTCGATCTTATAATTGAAGTTATACAAGAGGAAACTTTGTTGGTGCATTTGTGGACCATTGGTTTTATCAGTTAAGTATTTTCCTGTTCAGACAAGTTAGCGCGAGGACTTGACGTACGCAGTAGGCATTTGCAGGTGTTTACGTTAGTTGCGTTTTAGTTGTGTTTAGTGCATACCATCGAGATATGTGCATACATCCATCTTAAGAATGTCATTTCGAAGATTTCTGACTCAAAGTGAATTGGAAGCTGCCGTTGAAGAAGCTGGACAAGAACTGTACAATTACAGAAAAGGTTTGTGTGCGAAAACTCCTAACCTAACCTCATTTGCATCCCTTTTATTTTTGCGTAGATGCTCTTGATGCTGTTTACATACCTCCAGATGTAGACAATGTAACTGACGAGGAGGATGTAGAAGATGAGCTACTACCCGAAATTGATGTACCAGGTCCTTCAGACATTGCTGGTACATTTGAACTCCACGCATTTATGAATGAAGATGATGCTGCTGAAATCCCAAACAAAGAGGAAGCCATTTTTTTGACGATGATGGATTCAATCCTTCCGATGATGAGTTTTTGGCGTCAAAAAAATTGCGACTGGTTCCTCCCCCCGTGCCAGTCACATCCACAACTTTTGCTGTGCCGCCCCTCCAGCCAAAGTGGGAAAAGGGTCCACTGGAGTACACTCATTCATCCATCAGCAACGAAGACATTGACATGGAGCATTTAAAGAATGTACTGGCTGGAAAAACGCCATTAGATATGTTTTTTATTTTCTTTGATGATGATTTGATAAATTTGATTTTAGATTTTTCTGTGAAATACGCCCAACAAAACAACAGACATGGATTTTGTTTGTCCAAAGGAGAACTTCTGAACTTCCTATGCATTATGCTGTTTTCTGGGTACCACACCTTGCCGCAAGTTCCGCTCTATTGGTCAAACGAGGAGGACAAGGGGATAGACATAGTGAAAAAGTGCATGAGTTGGAATAGATTCCAAGCCATAAAGCGAAACATACATTTATCTGATAATAGTAATTTAGATAAAGATGATAAATTTTCTAAGCTTCGTCCATATTTAGACGCTGTAAATAAAAAAAATATGCAGTGGGGCGTATTTGCACACAATTTATCAATTGACGAACAGATGGTTCCTTATTTCGGTAGGCATTCTTGCAAAATGTTTATAAAAGGCAAGCCAGTTCGATTTGGATTCAAGCAGTGGTGTTTATGTTCGTCAGATGGATATTTATTCTATTCTATTCCATATGCAGGAGCAATCGCTAACAAAGAAAGGACGTCATTGGGACTTGGTGGTGAAATCGTCAACAATTTACTTGCCAACGTGGATTATCCTGCTAGACATAATATTTTCTTTGACAACTTCTTTTCTTCATATCAACTCCTAGTTGACCTGAACAACAAAGGTTTTTATGCCACAGTAACTATAAGAAGTAATCGAACAGGACACTGTCCGCTAGTTGAACCAAAAATCATGTCCAAGCGAGAACGAGGAGCGTATGATTGCGCGTATGACAAAAATAACAAAATTTCAATGGTTCGTTGGAATGATAATGCTATAGTTACCATTTGTAGCAATGTATACAATGTTGAGCCTATAAACCAAGTCCGCCGATACAACAGGAAAGAAAAAAGAGAAATTCATGTACAGCAACCAAACGTCATTGCTAGGTACAATCGCTGTATGGGAGGTGTCGATCTTCACGATAATGGCATTGCAAACTACAGAATTAGAGTCATGGGAAAGAAATGGTGGTGGCCCATATTTTGTAATTCAATCGACAGTATCATCGTTAATTGCTGGAAACTTTATAATTCCGTAAATCAGAACAACATTTCCCAATTGGATTTCAAATCCTACGTAGCCCTTCGTCTTATGAAGACAGACAGGCGTCATATTCCTCGAAATTGCAACCAGTTGTTGAGGTTCGGTTTGATGACTGTGGCCATACTGTAACTCGTCACCCGAATAAGGCACGAAGACGTTGCAGAGAATGTAATAGTCACACAGTGCACATGTGCAAAAGATGTAAAGTACATTTACACATATCCTGCTTCGAAAAATATCATCAGAAATGAATATATTTCTGCCGGCCAACATCCCAATGGTGCGTGAACGCAACACCAAAAAAACATGGAAGTTCTATGTACTGGATAATTTTCAACTATGTCCATTATAAAATATAATAATTCCACTAAGAATCTCCAATTTTTGAAGGGATTGAAGTACTATATAATATATTTGCACTATTAAAAGTTTGTCTTTGGTACCAGCGGTGCACAATCGAACCACGCATTTTTTGGATGATCAGTATGCA